TTTTCTAGAAGGAAACTCTTTATTTGGGGTGTGTTTTTACAGGAGAACATCTGCCAGGATCCATTGGAGCTCAGCCAACCAAGGTGGTGGTGGGAGGTCTTCTCCTTCCAGAAATGGGAGTTCGGGCCGGTTACATGTTTGTCTCCTGGGCCTGAAACCAGCCATTTACACCCTTAGGTTGCCTGGGGATCTTCTCTGGGCTCATGGAGAAAGTTGGCAGCCGTGTTCTTAAGCCTTCCAAAATTTAGCTGCTGTGTAGTGCTTGGGCCAGGAGCTGGGTGCCAACTCTGCTTCAAATGGTACATTTATAAAAGTGGCTACAGAAATCTGATAAAGGATAAAATACGGGGTGAATCAAAAGTAGGATGCAGGTTGTTGTCAGAAGTTCAGGAGCTGGGTGGTAAGGATTACACCAGAAAGACACCGGTTGTGGAGGCTTCTTCTGGGCCATCATGGGGGTGGAAGTCCCTGGTTTCCTTAAAACTTGGGCCTGTTCCAGTATTGAGGCCTAGACCAGCGAAAATGTGTGGTGTGAGGAACAGCCGTGAACCTTCTCCTGGGCAGCCTGTAAATTATACTGGGCCCCTTGCCCCAGCCCACGAAGGCAGTAGTGGGAGTAGGCCACCGCGTTGTCAACGGGTAGAAGGTGAAGGTTGGAAATGTCCTCCGGGGACCTGTGTACCAGGGCCAGGTGGTGCGTCGGACCGCCGGTCTCCACTGGCGCGTTGGAAGGCTGTAGGTGTTGGCTTCGGGGAAGTACCCAACTAGCATCCCGTTGACTTTTTTGTAAATGGGGTCGAGGTAATAGGCTCCCGTGAAACGGCTGGGGGGTGGAGGGGTGGGGGTACGGGGGGTGGTTGGTCTGAATGGAGGAGAAAGGCCAGAGACGGGGGGGTTCGCCAGGATATCCTTGATCCAGGTGAGAAAGAACTGGGTGGAGGTGAAGACTCCGGGGACTTTGCCGCTCGAGCAACTGGTGCCCCAGCTGTTAAGACCGATCAGCCAGTAGCGCTCGGTATGGGACTGCCTGCACATCAGGGGCCCACCGCCATCGCCCTACAGGAAAGAGGAAGAAGACATACTGCTGAGGTAATTCCCCGTTAGGAGAATGAGCGCATACAGGGAGACGTATTTGAGAGGAGTGTTTGAATAATACACATACGCAGCACACAGATACACGGTACAGTAAATGTAGGTTTTGACTTCCAGAAACGTTAAGCAAAGTTCAAAAACAAGCAGTCCAAAGTCATTCACAGGTAAATCAGTCAGTTTTTCAATCCAGGGATAATCCAGTAACAAAGTCCAGTGCCAAAAACAATTCAGTATCAGATTTACATCAAATCCAGAATATCAGTCAATTAGGAAAAATGGAAGAACGGCAATACTCTCCAACAGAAGGAAACAGAGATTCACTCTCTTCTGAGACTAAGATTAAGACAAACCAGGCCTCTGGCTCCATCTTATGGCCGTTTGAGAAACTACACCTAATTACAGTTTCGCATTTTCTTAAAGTTACATTTTTAAAATGTCTATCCTGGTTTATACATTGTCCAACCCAAATAGCTGTTAGGTGACTTATATTCCTAACACACACATCATGTGATGCAGAGGCGGGATTCAGCCAGTTACGGTGGTGGAAATTTTGAGTAGTTTGGAGAACTGGCCAATCCCACCCCTGACTGGTCCCACCAATCCCATCTATTCTCCGCCTCCCATTGAGTCCCAGCTGATCGGCTGGGTCTTCTTTGGTTGCCCTTCACAGGAGAACAGAGCTGGAAAGCAGGTCAGTGGGGTGGGGAGGGAAGGGGGATTTTTCAGTATATCCTTCCCCTGCCATGCCCACCAAGCCACGCCCAGAGAACCGGTAGTAAAAAAAAAATTGAATGCCACCACTGGTGTGATGACGCCGGGCATGTCACAGAGATAACACAGGCAGATGGCAGTTCAAACCATTCCTTTGTTGTTCCAAATTTTCCCACGCTCCCAGAGCAAAGTGATCACACACACATGCACACACACACACACACACACACACGCCACCAGCAGCCTCTGGCTGCAAGGAGTCCAGCCCAACACTGTGAGCACCACGGCTGCAAAGCAAGAAATCCAGAAAGAGTGCAAGGAATCCAGGAAAGTTCAAAGGTTGACACTCAACACTCCATGAATTCAGCATTTGTTCCCGACAAAACGCTCCTCTCCTTAAGTCTCGGTCCCCCCGGTGTGCCTTGTGAAGAGGGTCGGAGCGCTCTCCTCCCAAGTAGTTGGGCCAGACTGTGTTGTTCTCACCTTCTCTCCACGCTCCGTGCTCGAAGATCAGGAGGGAGCAGTCATTGCTCATCGCCTGAGGTCTGTCTCTTATATTTACTGTTTAGCCTCTCTTAGTCATTCCTATCCCACTTCCTTCCTGCCTACAAGACATCCCAATCCTGAAAGGCCCTGGCCTGAATCAACCTGCTCCTCCTCATTTTCCACTGAAGCCAACGAAGCTGCCCCCTTGACCTTTCTCCACTGATTTAGGCTCTGACGGGGGCGTGAGACCTCACCGGGTGGTGTAGCATCCCTTCACCCACACGCACGCAAGAGCACAAGGCTGGAAACTCAGCCATCACGTTTACACTACTTTAGAAATCCTTATAAACAGTGGACGAATGGCTGCCAAAGTCGATGGAGTTAGCAGAGAGGGCTAACTGGGCGGCTTCGTTGTGGTCACCCATTTGTGACCTCCTGACAGCTTCCCCCTGGACTTTGTTGTCAGCAATCAAGTTTGCCAATAGTGATCCCATGACCATGGGATCCTGCAGGTGTCATACTTGGGAGTCAATTGCCAAGCACCTGAATTGTGACCACACGATCCCAGGGATGCTATGATGGCCACAGCCATGGGAACCAGTCATAAGTCCCCTTTGTTGTCTCCATCACCCAAATCACGGTTGTCCAAAAGGCAACCGGACTGCCTTGGTTTTTCTTTGAAGACCTTTCACTTCTCATCCAAGAAGCTTCTTCGGTTCTAGATGAAGAATTAAGAACTGAAGTGAGAATTGAAGAAGCTTCTTGGATGAGAAGCGACATGTTTTCAAACAAAAAAAAACCCCCAAGTTTAGTTGCCTTTTTGGAAAAAGCATCTTTTCCAGTGTTCTGTTTTTTTCATTCATTCATTATTATATATTATAATTACATTATAATGATTCACTCAGCACCAGTGTAACTTCGAAGGGTTGCTGAACAATTAGTCTCTCTGCGACGCCTCTTGAATCCTGGAGAAGGCCAAGCGAGAGAACCTGAAGACCGGATCCGATGGAAAGAGATCTCTGCCCTTGGCACACTTACCCGGCAGCTGCCCTTGGTGGGATCCTCAGACACAGCACACAGGTGTTCCTCTTTGATGAGCGCAGAATACTGAGCAGAGCTGTTGCACTCATCTCTGGCTACCAGCGACACTTCAGCCTCTTGCAAGATATCCGAATATTTGGCCTTCGAATATTTTCCTATGCAGGAGAAGTATTTTTTTAAAAAATATGTATATATTATTTTTGGCTCATCTGGCTCTCTAAGATCAGCTTCTGCCAATCACCCAACCTGGCAGAGAGAACCCCAAAGCAGTGGCGCACCTTTAAGGGGATGCGTGCAAAGGTTTGGCCGAACTCTGGGTCAACTGTAGGGCAAAGTTCTCCTTCCTGCGCTCACAAGGACCCAGGATGCTAACAGAGAAGGGAGCCAGAGAGCCCCATTTTTCCTGTCCTCGCCTCCCTTCTGATATTCCTGTGCTCAACCTCACAACCACATCGCTTTTAATATTTTCCAAAACCATGGTGTGGTGCCTTCAAGAGCTCCTGACCAATGGCTGGGTGACTCTCAGTCTTTCCTCCAAGCCTGACAAGGTTTTGGGGAACCGAACGCGGTGGGTGCCAAGAGCCCCCAAGTGCATAGGGATGGGGTAAGGGGTGGGCGGAGTTTATGTATCCATCTATTTAATTTGGGGAGGTCCTCACTCTCCATGACTGTGATGCCCCAGCCACAGATGTAGCAGTGGGTCAGCAAGTCTATGACCAGATCTCCCTCCGGCAAGCAGGCGGGCTGGACATAATCGTTGCAAACCACGGGTTTGTCCAGCTCTACCAGGGCAATGTTATTCAAATGTTTGTCCTTGTCGTAATGTTCGTGGTCCACCAGCCTCTTGATGACACGGTTCTGGGCATCAGGTCCAGGTTTGGAGCGCTGGGTGGCCCCAATCTGCACTCTGAAATACTCCACTTTCAGGTACCTGAGTGAAAGGGGAGACAGGAGAACATGTTAGATAAGACGAGGTCAAATGGGAAAGAGGTCCAACGATGTCTCGGAAGGGGAAGGCAACGGCCAGGATTTTGACCTCGCCGTACAATTCCCACGTGAGCCCTTGCAGGCTAGGGAGCTTGGGATGCCAACGGGGAAGGAGGAGGAGCAGCAGAGAACTTCAGGCTCGGCTGAAAGAAGGGACCCTTCCTCCTCCTCCTCCTCCTCTGAGAAAAACAGCAACCATCTACCTGCCAAGGTGATCACGTAGCCTATCATTCATTACCTGCCGGATGGAAGAAGCCCCTTACTGCTTAATAATAAGATTATTTCTTAGGCTGAGGGGAGTGGGTGACAAGCATAAGTGTTGTGGCCTGTTGGGTGCCAGCCCTTCCAGCACCTGAATTGGAGGAGGAGGAGGAGGAGGAGGAGGAGGAGGAGGAGGAGGAGGAGGAGATGGTGTGGGAGTCAGGGCCAACAACCAGCAACCTGAGAGCTCAGAGGGGGGAGAAGGAATGGAGCTGTCAGTGATAGAGGTGGAGACCATCGTCTGTCAGCCCTCAGATGGAGAGTCAACAGCCCCCAGGTCCAGAGGTGGCTGATGAGGAAGAGGAGGGAAGCTGGGTCCAGTGCCTAACATGCAGATGCACAGAAGGCAGAGGAGAGGAGAGCAGTGGAAATCTATGGGCCGGTCCTCGGGGCCGGAAGAGCCACCGCTGCTAGCAAAGCCCCACCCTAGCTCTGGGGATCAAAGGCAGGGGGCAGAGATGAATAGGTGTGGCAGATAATTATTCCTCTCCTGGATGGGCAGACTTGGTAGTCTGCGGTGAAGGAGAAACTTTTTTGCTAGGGCTTCTGACATGCCTAATAAAGGGGACATTTATTTAACCACAGAGGGTTTGCCATGTTTTGGAACTGGGTCAGAACAGTAAGAAAGCCCCCAGACTCCAAAAGAAGTCAAAGAGTCTTTTAAAAAGGCCCCAGAAAATCAAGCAATAATCATGGTGAGTCGAGGCTGAAATGCCAAAAGGGACACCCTGAAAAGACACGTGGTAGAAGACCTCCATGGTCCCATCTTGTTCTGTGTTCTGACTGGAAAGGGATCTTCTGTGGCTCACTTTTCTCTCGAAATTTGCATGTTCCTACACCTCTTCCTCTTGAAGAAGAGTCCTTAAGATATTCTGAGTAGAATCTGGTTTAAAGTTGGAAGCATGCAACTTTCTAGCGATGGTTGCATTGTGTTAACCACACTTCTAGTGCTGAATGCTTAGAATGGGGGCATCCAGAGATCAGGTGTTATGGAGAGGGTCATGTCTCACAGAAAATGGAAGTAGGTTGGATCTCTCCTTGATAAGATAGTTGACGCAATACAATTTCTCTTAAAGGTCAACTGGGCCAGTCTGGAAGAAGGCAAGTCATAAAACATTTCTATGCCTGCTTTAGGGTTGCCACAAACAGAAGCATGGAGGGGGAAAGAAATTTGAAATACCATTGCAGAAGTTTGGAAAAAGAAAGTGCATTCCATTCTTATCTTGCAAAGATTACAACTAAGCAACCAAAATTCTGCCAAGCAAATCCCTAATTGGAGAATGTGATTGATAACTCTTGGCTATGGACATGTTTTGTTGGAGAATATGAATTATGACACACCCAAAGGGATGGGGGGAAAGCAGGATCAAGGGTGACAGTGAATCACATGTCTCAGAATTGGCTTCAAACAGGTCATGCCGACATGTTCGTTCCTAAAAAATCCTTCGAAGTTTTTGAAGTTTGGCTCGAGGCTCCCGATTTAATGAGGGCAACAGCCAGAATCCTGACAGCAAGGCCAAGAAGGTGCAAATTAAGTCGAACAAATAAAAAGAGCCATCCACTCCATCCCTCTTTAATATGAAACCATCTCAACAAGAAACTTCTCAACCTGGGCAACCAGAAGACATGTGGACTTCAGCTTCCAGGATTCCCCAGCTACTACAACAACTTCTGAAGCAGGAAGTTCTCAACCTTGGGAAATTGAAGAAATGGGGACTCCAGCTTGGCTGACTGCCGGATGCTGGGAGTTGGGAGTCCGCACATGTTTTCAAGTTGCTAAGAGTTGAGAAAACTTGTCCCAGCGACACTGGTCCCCATTTCTGATATTGGGACACCACCACCACCCCGGACCTCTTGCCTTCTGCTTGAGTTGGTGATTTGGGTGTTTTGGGTTTCACTCACTTTTGAATGAGGAAGCATTGCGCCGTCGAAATGACCCAGCGAGAATTGATCAAGGAGCCGGCACAGAAATGGCGGTATCCGTCCCGGGTGGGGAACTGGAAGCTGACCGCCCAGGGCCACGTTCCTGGCAGGGAATCAACCCCACCCACGATCCGCAACATGCCATGGCTCATGGCTAGTGGACGGCCACCACACACCCTCCTGCAAAGAAAGATGATTGGTTGAACTTATGGCCTCCACAGAGGCCCTACAGTCACAGATACACAAGACCAATAAAACACATTATACGTCCAAGCACAAATAATACACAAGGCTAAGGTATTCCATGACTTGCAACAGTTCACTTAGTGACCATTTGAAGTTACAATGGCACTGAAAAAAGTGGCTTAAGTTTTCACACTTATGACCATTGCAGCATCCCCCATGGGTCACACGATCAGAATTTAGATGCTTGGCAACTGACACGTATTTATGACGGTTGCACATTTATGAGGATTACATGGTCCCTTTTTACGACCTTCTGACAAGCGAAGTCCACGGGGAAGCCAGATTCACCTAACAGCCATCCAACTCAACTAACAACTGTAGGGATTCACTTAACAACCATGGCAAGAACTGGGGTAAAGTGGAACAAATCCACTTAACAAATGTTTCCCTTAGCAGCAGAGATTTTGGGCTCAGTTGTGGTCGTAAGTTAAGGACTACCTGCAGAGCATCAGCAAATACACACACACACACACACATGGATGTATGAAACCAGCCCATTGATGTGACTGGGAAGGCAATTGAACTAAGATTGCAAGGTGTCTATGGAGATTCTCCATCACGCAAGTCACGGCTGTCCCAAAAGGTGCTCCTTCCAGAAGACAACTGGACTTTGTTGGGTTTGTTGGTTTGTTTCTTTGAGAACGTTCAGCTTCTCACCCAGAAGCTCCTTTCACCAAGATGTTCTTCTCAGGAGAAACTTCAGGAGGAAGTTTTCTATTAGAATAGAATAACAGAGTTGGAAGGGACCTCCGAGGTCTTCTAGTCCAACCCCCCGCTCAGGCAGGAAACCCTACACCATATTGTTTCGAATGGTCATCCAACCTCTTCTTGAAAACCTCCAGTGATGGAGCATCCACAACTTCTGGAGGTAAGTAGTTCCACTGACGAATTGTTCTCACCATCTGGAAATTCCTCCTTCGTTCTAGGTTGCGTCTCTCCTTGACCGGTGTCCCCCCCCATTGCTTCTTGTCCTGCCCTCAGGGGCTTTGGAGAATAGTTGGGCTCCCTCTTCTCTGGAGCAGCCCCTGAGATATTGAAACACTGCTATCATGTCTCCCCTAGTCCTTCTTTTCATCAGGCTAGACCTACCCAATCCAGCAACCGTTCTTCCTCTGTTTTAGGTTAAGCCTCCAGGCCACTAATCATCTTTGTTACTCTTCTCAAGAATGGTAGAAAGAAATATAAAAGATTCCCCACCCGTCGGTCTTTTCCGCCTCTTCCTCCTCTTCCTCCTCCAGGGTCCAACCATGGCAGTCTGAAAACTTCTGGGACAACCCCCAGCAGGACCTCAAGGTCACACATCCCACTGTTGCTTTCTCTACCCATCTCCAACAACCATCCAGCACGCTCCGGCTGAAGTACGGAGGCCCCAGGGCCCCAGGACAACCCAATGTTCCCAGTAGAGTGGCCCCTTCCAGCTGTGGCCCTCACTCACGTGCAGGTGTCCTCTGCGTCATCGTAGATTAAGCAGAGCGCATCAACTGCCCAAAGGAGCAGTAGCAGCTTCTTCATCCTACATCGCTCAACGAATGTCAGCTCCCACCTTCTCTCCCAGGGCTCGTGACGTCACAAACTGTCCTTTCAGTCCCCGGCCAATCAGCCCACAGACAATATGACATCACACTGAAGAACCACAATTCTTGGCTGCCGTTGGCTTTAAAAGGGTTGATGGCGGGGTCCCAGTTTGGGCATCAGGGCACGGCCTTCAAAGCAACTCAACCTTGCTTAGGAACCCAACCCATGACATGCGGGTGCAGAGAGAAGGATCCAGAACGTTAACTGTCTTGCTGGGTCAGCAACAACAGGAGGCCCGAGCAAGCAAGAAGCTGTGAAGGAAACGGAGGCATGGAAGATGCTTTTGTACATGTGGGATAGACAAGCAATTGTGGTTTTGCAGTCATCTACAAGTGTCTTTTGCTAGGACGTCGTTTGCATCATTCTGCCCATCGGAATAACACCATAACAAGTTGGAAGGGACCTTGGAGGTCTTCTAGTCCAGCCCCCCGCTCGAGAAGGAGACCCTAGAGGATTCCAGACTAATGGCTGTCCAATCTCTTCTTAAAAACTTCCAACGTTAGAGCACCCACAACTTTTGGAGCCAAGCTGTTTCCACCGGTTGATCGTTCTCACCGTCAGAAACTTTCTCCTTAGTTCTCGGTGGCCTGTCTCCTTGGTTAGTTTCCATCCGTTGCTTCTTCTAGTGCTGGGTTCTCTTTTGACAAATGAAAAGAAGGTCTGCTTATCTGTGGTTTGTTCTGGGAAAGCTTCGAAGAACTGCTTCTCAATCCTGGCATCCTGAAGTCCATGCATCTTCAAGTTGCCAACATTGAGAAACACTGATGTAAGAAAATTGGTTGTGTGTGGCCAGTTTTGCCTTCTCCTCACCTACTTTCAGTAAGAACAATACCGGAGCTTCCATTTCTGCCAATTGAAGCCAAGTCCTGCCACTCAGGCTACTGAGAGAGGGACTTGCAAAGTCTTCCAACCCAAGCTTGCTGCCTCTAATGTTCTCCAGATGCAGGTGA